GTATATGAATATTGTTTTTGTTTTATTATTTCAGTTAGGTTCCGCGACAAGTTTCGGCCAGCATGGCCATCATCAGGTGAAAAAAAATTCCTGCTTGTAGCTGTGAACTACAGCAATGAATGACTTTCTGGAGAAAAATGAACTTTATCTGTAGTTTTCATTTGTTATTTTTTTCATCGTTAATTTTGGTCAGAACTTGAGTTGGTCAAACGGCCTCTTTTAAGTTGTTTTTAAGATAGAGGCTGGATAGATTCATCTGACTCTGAATTTCCTTGGTCATTTTGACAGTTTTATTGATTCCTGGGAAGGGGATGTTAAATTTGAGATTAAGCCCGTCTGGATAGTGTTTTGAAGCGCAAAATCCATTTGTCTTCTAAGCATTTTCCAATGTTATCATTTCTTCTCTATCTTTTACAATTTTATATATATATATATATATATATATATATATATATATATATATATATATTCAAACATGTTTAATTGCATAGTATAAACATATTATGTCTATTAATTTTTATAATATTCCTTTTAGTTCGCTAATTAGCTTAAGTTGAAACTCATCAAGGAATGCGCCATACTTTTCCCTAAAGTATTTCAATAAATGAAGATATGCTGCCTATATATATATATATATATATATATATATATATATATATATATATATATATATATATATATATATACCAATTTGTGACTGGTAGGGATAATTCCAAGGAGGATATTAATCCAAAGAGTGCTCAATGTAAATTACAGAGAATAATAATAATAATAATAATAATAATAAAAAATCAGGAAACTTTATTAATAACTTTCGGTTTGAAGAGATGAATATGGCAATATTCACGAAATAAATTATAACCAAAAAGGATCTGTAAGTTTTTTTCATGATTTATATATATATATATATATATATATATATATATATATATATATATATATATATACTTATTTATCGGAAAAACAATATGGCTTCTGTGTCTACCGCCGGTGTGTTAACGGCCACCACTGAATTAGTATATCAGGCTCTAGGTAAGGTCGGCGAAGTTCAGTCTGTGGTTCTAGATATATCGAAGGCGTTCGACAGGGTTTGGCATGGTGTTAATCTACGCAAGATCCAGGGCTAGAAACTTACAATATTTTTGTTTTATCCAATCGTTCCTATCAAATCGTGAAATGAAGGACGCGGGGAACAGACTCCCTTCATACGAACGCCAGGTTTCCTCAAGTTCTCCGAGTTCTACGCTGTTTCTGATCTTCAACAATGATCTCCCCGATGTCATCAGTTCCCAGGTAGGCATTTATGCAGATGACACTGCCACTTATTCTTGTTTCAGTAGAAAATCCGAAAGATATGACAAAATAAACCTGGCAGCTGATTTTGAAAAGTATCTCCAATCCGTGGTTAACTGGGGCAAGAAATGGCCTTTAAATTTAACGCCTCCAAAACAAAACTGCTTTCATTTAACCACCACATAGAAACTTTTCTTCCTTCCATCAGCATGACTGATGTTAGACTCCAGGAGAGCAATACACTACGCCTTCCTTGCATCACGTTTTCCACTTATATGATGTGGAGCGGCTATATCGAATCAACAGAACGTTGAGTCTCTGTGTGGACCAAGAATACTTTTCCATCTTACACATTTACAAATCTACCATTCTTCCGTGCATTGATTACTGTTGTCATATCTGGTCTGGTGTTCCTGCTGTACATCTCGAAATTCTTCTGTTTTCTTGCTTCTCTGATAACTACACTCTTCTTTAAATTAAACGTCAGTTGCCATCTTCTTTCTTCTTGAATCCCCTTCATGTTTTGTTCTTTCTTCAATCCTCCCTATTCTCAGTATTCTCTTTCACTTTCACTCCCTGTAACTGTGTAATAGTAACATTACCACCTAGCTTAGGTGGAAATTATATAAATATTGTTACGACCCTCCCCCGTTCTCCAACCGGGTCGATAGCGGAGACAGGGGAGGATCGCAACCTGCATCATTATTTTTAACATTTATACAACTCTCATGAAATATTTCCTTCCCCAAGGGTCTCTTTCCGATTAATCAGACGCGGCCGAGCGGAACCGGTTAAGGAACAAACGCGATAGGCGACAAACAACGGTAAGCCAGATATAGAGACAAGGAATAAATAGTAGTGAGAGGGGAAATAATCCTCTCAGAAAGGTAGATTATAAATCAACATACGATCTTGTGCCACCCTTGCAAGAATTTACAAAACGTGAAAAGGTAAAACAAGCAGAGCGAAACATGTAATAAAAAAAGGATCTCATGCCAGACTTGCATGAAAATAATAAAGATAAAAAATACATTAACCATAATGAAGACATATTATAGAAACAACTAGCAGTAGAGTCCGGCGTTGCCCGGGGATGTAACAGTAAGAGATAGATCAAGTATCGACCATCATAAAGATTGAAAAATAAAATTGACAAAGATTATTGTTTAAGGTTGACAGACACGAATGTCTTAATTAGTTTTTTTTTTTTTTTACGAATTGGTCAAACCCAAACTCAAACAAAAACATTGTTTTCAATCGTTATGAGTCTACCGATTGAATAGAATTTTATTATAAACAATTCTCTTGTAAATGGAATTTTTAAAGCATTCTGAATGTAAAAATAAAGAAAAAAAATGTGCAAGACAATAAGAAACACTACCTGCCAAAATAAAAAAGAAAGTGAAGTTTTGTTGAAATCGGTTGAAAAATGTAGGAAATCCGATCCCATATATAAACGAACACAGACACCCACTCACAAACAGCTTGGGTTTTATAATAAGTATAACTCGATATGAGTTGTCCCCCTTTCATTCTCGACAGCGATGCCTCTTAAACGTATTTTCAAATTGATTTCGTGGAAAAAAAAATTGTGTTTTTCCAATTTTTGGCGCTGTCAGGACCGCCGCAAGGTAATTTTACGTAGTCCTGTGAAGTTTTGTTGAAATCGGTTGAAAAATGTAGGAAATCCGATCCAATATATAAACGAACAGACACACACACACAACCTGGGTTTTATAATATGTATGATGAACTTATCTGGTCGTCATAAAAGTTCTTTTTCTTTGATGTCTTTTATATCTATTTCTTCTTTTCCTTTCTCTCTTTTTTTTCTGTTTTTCCTTTTCTCTGTTATTCTTTTTCTATTATAAGCGTCTCTTTTTGAGCTCTTTTCTTTTTTTCTTTTTCTTTTCGTTTGGTTTAGGGACTTGGGTGACGAATAAATTGAAGCTGTCTTCTCTCTCTCTCTCTCTTTCTTTCGTCTAGATGTAGCAGCATTCTTCGTACGCCGGGGTTTGTTTCCCAGAATCCAAACATTTCTTTCGCGTTCATCGCACTTGTGGTCGATGGTCCGTTCAGTTCGAAGAGGGACTTTTTTTCGCATGACCAATTTTTTTTTTTTACCGTTTATCGCCTTCATAGCCGTCTGTCCATTCCATTCGAAGATGGACTCACTTTCGCATACCCAACCAAATCTATAGCTGACTCGTCCTTCCAGTCTTGAAGACTTGGACAGGGACTTTTTTTTTTCACCTAACCATCACAGGACTGTCGCATTTATAGCGAATGCGCCCCGTATAGCACAATGGCTTGGAGAGGACTGACTTTTTCGTTTCGCTGTTCGTTTATCTTTTTCTCATCACGTGGTCCTTTTTTTCAAATATGAACCTTTTTCCATTGTGAGTGAAATGAGGTCGGTGACCCTTGCTCTCATCTGCCGGGTCAAAGTGAGTTTAAAGTGTTTCAATTTTCTATCTGGAATCTATCCGGCTAAATCACGCTGTCAACACGTGACCAAAAGAGAAAGAAACCCTACAAGTTTGGTCAATATCTCTCGACATTTAAATCTACCTTATCTCTTTGCTTTCTTACTTTCATGTTTTCTGAAAGTACTGGGGTCTTTATTTTAGAATGCTTCTAAAATATAAGCATTGATATAGCTTTTATAATAAATTTAGGTGAGGGTTCGTAACAATATATATATATATATATATATATATATATATATATATGTGTAAATAAATTGAAATGTCAATCAACACTCAGAGGCGACAGGCTATTTCATGCTAACAGCCTGTCGCCTCTGAGTGTTGACTTCAATGTTCACTTTTATATTTATATTTACATACGATCTATCTCTGATATTGAGCACTTTATGCCATAAATATAGTACACCTTAAAACTATATTTCTTCATATATACTTATATATATATATATATATATATAGTTTGTAAATGCGGGCTTTTACTTTAAGTTTATATATATATATATATATATATATATATATAATAGCTGGCCACTCGTATTCGAGGATAACCGCCTACTAGGGTGGCTAGCCAATCCCTATTGCAGACACTCGCCCAGGGACATTTTGTGTTAGCTAAACAGCCACAGAGGCTACCTGTGGTTTATACTGCAACTATGCTGAGCAGACCTTAGTTACATTATCTGGGAGAGAGCTTGTTATCTAGCGTGATTTAATATTTTGAACAAGGCCTCGGCCACGATGACTTGAACAGCTATCGACGGCCCACAAGAGTCCCGTCTACCCAATTTCACTCACAATACTCGTGGCATGGTTTTCAGGTACGTTTCCAAAGTACGGTGCGTTCCCGACAAAATAGACCATGGTGATGTTCGAAACCGCATCTCATGGTCAGAAAGTGAACGTTCAAACCACTCGGCCACCGACCGACCGATTGGAACGAAATATTAATGGATACTACAGAGTGAGCTGAGTTTACAAGAGGATAGTGTTGCGAAGCTCGACATGAGTGGGGAAAGAAGATAAGAAATAAATCATTTAAAGAATCCTGTTATTTGGATTTGCTAGTGAAATGAGTAGGAAAATACACGATTTGAGTAAGGGATTGAGCAATAGAAAAACTGAAAATCTGAGTACCGGCAACATCGGTAAAATTAGAATGTTTGAGCCACGTCCGGTCCTGACTGTTGCGTTAACTTTTACGCAACACTTCCGGGAGGCTTACGTCCATATCACGTTGAAAAACGGTTCTAGTACGATCACCGAAATTAAGCAACATTGAGCTTGGTTAGTATCTAGATGCGTGACCGCTTGGGAATACCAGGTGTTGTAAGCTTGGATGTGCGAGTGTTGCAGTGGATAAAAGCTAGGATTGAGAAATCAGAGAACCGAGTTCGAATTCCAGCCGAGTTCGTTACATTCACTTACATTCAAAGACATTTGGGAAGAGTATAAGTCCACTTCTTCTTCTCAAGCTTAATTTATATATTCATTTGAAAAAAAAAAAAAAGAAATAAAGAATTATTCAATTCAAAAATACATTTCGGCTTTAAATAACTTACAAAAGGTTGATAAACCGTAAAAAAAAAACCAAGAAAAATAAAAAAAAAATGTTCTGGGGAATATCCTTCCTAGTTCAGCTATAGATTAAATAGCAGTGTAACATGAAATGTTTCGCCTATGTCGCAGATGCGTTGTATTTTGGTTGGATATGCGACGTTGATTTGTTGGGATATGCAACGTTGCAATAAACTATTTTCCCGGCCCCTAACTGACCGCTAACCCCCAACGTTGTTATAACTTTAACGGTAATGTTGTGAAGTGCTGTAGCTGAAAACATCCTCATAGGTCAATTTTTTATTATTAGATTACTTTATTTTCACTTAATAATATGTATAGAAAATATAACATTTCGTATTTTTTTAAAAAATCGTAACTAACTAACGTAAATGATGAATAAACGTTCTAATATATTTTTGGAATTTATTATATATTCACTGCGGAGAACCTGGCATGTTACAAGTCTACGTATTTGCAATGTTAAAAGGTAAGGTTTTTAGGGAGACATTCTGAGGCATCAAAAAGTTACCTTTTTTTTTTCAATCTCTATGTAATGTTGCAGAAACGGTGAAGCAAAGTCATTTTGTTAATAGAGTAGACTGAACATTATAACCGTGATTGGCTACATGTCTAAGAAAACGAAAACTTTATAAAAGGAAACAGGAAAGTGACTCTCTTGTTATGTAGTCGCATACAGCTTTTCAATCATTCTAACGCAATTCATTTCTCTTGTGCCGTAAAAAAAAAATGAAAAAATAAAATATTTTTCATTGGACTTTGTTTGCTAGGAATTTGCAAATCGTTTCTTCGTTTCTTTCAACTTGAAAGAAAACGAAGATTGCGTTTATATTCAATAATAATAATTATTTAAATTTGTAGAGCTGTGTTTGAAGATTATTTATTTTCTTCGCTTTTCGCACGTTTGTTTCGCAGCAGTCTTACTAGCCAGCAAATATGAAGGTTATACGAATTTTAAAACACTTTCCAAACAAGAAATTGATGTGGAAACAATTTGGCATGCCGATGAAAGTAATAATGGAATATAACCTGATTCCATCATAAAAAATCCAAAATGGGGAATTAATAAATTCTAAAGACTTCGAATATGTCGCTGTAGGGAAATTGAACACTAACTCTAGTAGTATCTGTGAATATTTCACAGCTTTTTTGTTTTAATTTTGTTTTCTTTCTTTCTTTCTCTCCTGGCTTCACAAATTTAGAATCTTTTACTTTAATTTCATTCTTTCACTTGCTCTTTCTTTCTTTCTTTCTTTCTTTCTTTCTTTCTTTCTCTCGTAGGTTCACAAATTTAGAATCTTTTACTTTATTTTCTTTCTTTCTTTCTTTCTTTCTTTCTTTGAAATCCAACAGCATCTTTGGTATGTCGTTTCCGTCTTTCCTCGCAATCGAAACGGAACAGTCTATTATTTATGAGGTACTGGCAGGGCGTTTCTTTCTTTCTTTCTTTCTTTCTTTCTTTCTTTCTTTCTTTCTTTCTTTCTTTAAAATCAAACAGCGTCTATGATATGACATTTCCGTCTTTCTTCATTATCGAAACGGAGCAGTCTATTATTTATGAGGTATTGGTATGGCGTTTCTTTCTTTGTTTCAATTCTTTCTTTCTTTCTTTCTTTCTTTCTTTCTTTCTTTCTTTCTTTCTTTGAACTCAAACAACGTCTCAGCTATGTCATTTCTGTCTTTCCACGCGATCAAAACAGAATGGTCCATTATTTATGAGGCATTGGCAGGGCGTAACGGTCGTGCCTACTATGTCAGTCAGTTATGTGCCATGTGTAATACACGCTTAGGTGATCATGTATCTTTCGATACATGACTGAGGAGGCATATTTTTTCCCGCAGTAGGTTACCATTTTTTTCTGCGGTAGACCAGTTGCCATCCAAGGCTATAGAACCCGGTCTGTCCTGCTATTCTTCAATCCTAGTCTCTATCCATTACTCTACTGTGACTCCCTAAGGAAAGGCGGGATAAACAGCAATATTATAAGATGGATGCCGTGTCTGTAACTAGAAGGATAAATAATGGTATAATCAAAATACTAAACTTTCATCCTATCTTTAAAAAAAGGTTAAGACGTGAACGCCCATCAATGCCAGAAAGAGTGTCAACAGATAATAGACTTGAGAAGTCTATCTTCCTGAAAAACTATTTTCAAGTAAAATATTTTATAAATTTCAATCGACAGTTACGCTGATTGTGTGTTCAACGTATGACTAATGCATGGAAACGGCTATTTTCACCAAATGAATTTGACTAACTGTCCTTCTTTACGGCAGTGAATGTTGGAGGATTTCCTCAAAGATGAAGAAGAGACTCGAGGCGACGGTGGTGTACTTCTACAGAAGGTTGCTAAGGATATCATGAACCAGGCGTGTTAGCAACGATGAGGTCTTAGAGAGGATGAAAACAAGGTTGAGACATACTTAACATTAGGAAGAGGCAGCTGAAGTTCTTGGGAAACATAATGAAGAAAGGGGGCCTGGAAAATCTGATACTCTCAGGTCGTGTAGAGAGAAACAGAGATAAGGGAAAACAACGCATGACATACCTGACAAGTGGATGACAGAACGTGGTGTCTGGGGGTGGCAGAGGGAAGGAACTTGTTGAGAGCTGCAAGGGATGGAGGGAGGTGTAGAGCCATGATCGCCTCCGCCCTGAAAAGACATGGCACATAAAAAGAAAGAATTATACCAGTTATATGTCATCAACAGATAAGCTTGTTTATATAGACCTATCTTTTCCCTGTCCGTGTCTGTTCATCAAAGTTTTGTACATACTATTAAAATCATATATTTTTATTTCCTTGTTTTTTTTTTGTTGTTGTTGTTTTTTTTAATTTTGTTTACTACAGCGTTTCAAACGATCTGTTGTTGTACCTTCTGCACGGAAAGAGAGGAAATCCTTTTTGTAGAGCGTGGGAGCAAACAGAAAAAAAGGACTCTTCACATTATGGGGGATTTATATCCAAAGAAAACAGTAGAACGAAAAAAATAAATGAAAAAAATAAAATATTGTTGTGGTACGATCCACCTAATTTACATAGTGGAGTACCGACCATATAAATATGGGTTGGTACCGGGAAGACGGGTGAAGGGAGGAACAAGAGATCCAATCCAGAGACTCTGCCCGACTGCGATTAAGTCAACCCATTCTACAGGAACAGTCTTCCCAAGAATATACCAAAACTAACTGTAAATATTGTGTACTTTTTCCTTGGTTCAATACATTTTGTTTACGTACATTTTGTGTTGTATTATTATTATTCCATGCTTATCCAAGCTTCAACAAAAATAATTACAAAAAAAAAAAAAAAAAAAAAAAACAAACAAAAACAAACAAACCTTGTCCCCCAAACAAAAAATAGTCCCAAAAACATTTTAAATGAAATTACTTCTGTACATTACAGAAAGCATTTGCATTTCTCTAGCTACACGCGCGTGCGCACACACATCCACGCACACATGATCGTATTATATAAGTCATTATCATGAGAGATGTTTCGGCTTGAAGGTACTCTAATCTTCTCATCTTCTGCAACTTTGTAAATAACTCTTATCAGTCCTCTTCAAACATCCCTATCTTGTGATAACTCAAGAAAGTGCTGCATATCTTCCAAGATCTTTAAAGTTCTTACGGGAAATGATGGGATTTTATTGATAGTTCTTGAAATCTAGTTGATCAATGTATATATTCTAGTTACCAATGTTATTCTTCCATTTGGTATTGATGACGAAACTATTCCCATAATATTTACCCTCTGTGTTATATAAATATATATATATATATATATATATATATATATATATATATGTGTGTGTTTATATATATATATATATATATATATATATATATATATATATATATATATATATATATATATATATATATATATATATATATATATATATAAAAAAAGTGTAAACATATTATTTACCTGAACTGACTTGAAATTGTTGTTCATGCATGAAACAGGGTAGTGCCTGTATATATATATATATATATATATATATATATATATATATAGTCCATATATATAGGCTAGTCCTAGAAAGATATTTGTGTCACTACCACACAAAAAAGAAAATCTTCTTTAACATCGAAAATCCCAAGGAAAATTAATTCATTTTAATAATATGTGAAATATTCACTCTTCGCGATACCCGAAACACGTGTTGTAAAATAAAGCTCAATATATATTAAAAACAATTCACATTACAACCAAAAACGTTTGTGGCTTCTCTCTTCTTTTTAATATATATATATTAAAATGTCTTTAACCCCTAATACCAAGAGAATATATATATGAATATATATATATATATATATATATATATATATATATATATATATATATATAGATAGATAGATAGATAGATATAATAAATAAATATATAAGAATGAAGACGAAAGAAATATTTTTTTACCAACACGTATTGGCCTCTGATGAAATTTTTCAAGGTAATTTTACCTTGATTAAATCTATCAACGGACAAAACGCGTTGGTAAAATGTTTCCCTTTGTCTTTATTCATGTTGTGTGTTTATATGTAACAATTCAAATATAATAAGTGTAAAACATTTATTACATTTGAATTGTTACACACAAACACACACGCATATTGACAAACATATATGTATAATAATAGACATTCACAATTGGCGACTGCGCGTCGAAAAAGAATATTTTTGCCCGAATGAAAAATTTCAGATTTGAAGAATCCTAATTCCTTAAGATTCTGAATAATTATTTCTTTGCATGAGTTCTCCTTTTTTTCTTTTTCAAAAAAGAAACACAAAAAAAAAACCTGGGGAAAAGAACAAACAAACAAAACCAAAAACAAAAAGGATATCACGTGACGCTAAGCAATTCAGCGCAATTTCATATGAATCTACCGATAACTAAATGACGTATGTACAAGTAAATGTGGTGATGACAACAAATTACTGATGCTATTCGTTCTGCAGTTACCTTCACGATCAAAATCACCATTGTCAGTTTCATTAACAATTCTCACTTTCTATGTTCCTTTTTTTTCCCAATGAATATTTTAAACCCGATTTTCTTAATCTATTAACTGAAGAACTGTGATCTTTCGCTAATCTAAAAATCGATCTTTGCTCGTGCCAAGTTACAACGAGGTTTACCTGAATTAAATAACACAATTCTTAAAAAGAAAATTAAAGTTAATCTAAATTCAGAAAGAACTCATCTCCATTTTGTAATGTATTCGTTAATCAAGTCATAATAGGTACGATCTAAAGATACCTGTCCCTGGTTCAGTAATCATGGCGCCATACTCGTCCAGAAATATCTAAACTGTCTGTTGTATACAACCGCTTTCTCGGATCTCTGTATAAAAATGGCTCCTGGCGAGTGAAGCGTGTTGGCGTCAGCGAGGACCATCCTTTATTGAAACTCATCGACTGGCGTTTATAGAATCAAAAATGAAGATAACAAAATCAGTTCAGGATTTTCAACAGAAGCAACAACTAATACAGGCAGCGCACCTAACACAAAGATAGATTAATGACATAATCAAAATGCTGAGGTTCAACAGTACACTAAACAAAAGGCAAGACAAGAAAACCTCATCAGTACTAGAAAGAGCGATAACATCTACTGGACTTGAGAAAGTTATTTTCTGAAAAATGGTTTTAAGGGAAAGGTTTTTAAATTTCGGTCGAGATCAACACTGACCATTCGGTCACTGAATTCCGAATGTTTCCTTATAAGTAAACAGCTAATATTACCATTACAATAATGGTTGCTCTTCGGTTTCGAAGAAGACGTTGTCTTGCAAATCACCAGAGAATCTGGATTAATTTCCAAAGATACGTGCGGGAAGAAGTTATAGTGTGTAAATCGTTGCACCCAGGGTAGTCCTACTCTCTCGGCCTGGGGAGTCTTTATCCCGTCGCACCAGGAATCATTATAACCAGAGATTTCCAGACTACAGCACATGACCAGGACTTCTAAATGTCACGTTCATGCTCTGAATCTACTCCACGGCAATTATTGACACTGGTTTCGTTGTTGTTAAATAAGGACCTATATATATATATATATATATATATATATATATATATATATATATATATATATTACCAAGAGTATAGAATCCAGTAAGAGCTCAATGTTCAGGACAAAGCAAAAATATAATGTGAAAGGGTGAAAGACTAATATTCCATGGTTATAATTTATTATATTGAAATCGTAATCACGATCCAATGCATTAGACCTACAAATTCAAAAAAAAGAAATCGGTAAATAGAAATCCAGGTATAAAAAACTTAAGACTATTTTTTTAATCATATATATATATATATATATATATATATATATATGATAGTTTTAACGTATATTTGTGGGTTAAAGTGCTCAATATCAGGGATAGAGTAATGATCTGCGTTTAGCATGAAACAGAATGTCGCTTCTAGGTCTTGACTTCAATGCTCACTTATATATATATATATATATATATATATATATATATATATATAGATAGATAGATAGATAGATAGATAGATTAATGTTTTGTTTTAGGATATTAAAACAAAAACATCTTAAAAATCGCTATACAATTACCATTATGTTTCAACACTAGAAATGCTCGCCAGTATTATAACATCGCCCGAGGAGACACACTTCTAGTGTTGAAACATAATTGTAATTGTGTAGCGATTTTAAACATGCTTTTGTTTTAATATCCTAAAATAAATAATATTTAGCTGTACTCTGTATTGAGCATTACTTTAAATTAAACGTTACATACAATAAAATTATAGTCAGTTTGCTCTCATTTTACATATATATATATATATATATATATATATATATATATATATATATATATATATTTTTATTTCTTGCCAAATAATGTCCTTTTTTATCCTGCACAAATGACTAAAAATATTTCCGACACATAAATATGTGAGGTCTCTGTAACATTTAAGTAAATTTTTAACTAGACTCAGTAGGCTACCACTACTTGCATCTAGCCTGACTCCATAATACTTTACTATTAAAAAGAGATTGGTCGGGGGATCTTATATGCCATCAACAATAGCACGTTTCTGTCTGAGTCTGCGTATGAATTAGAGCTTTTCATGAATTAAACCCAATTTCCTTCATCCGTCCAAAGTGGTGTCGCCAATTCCGCAGAACGCTTGTAAGAATCAAGACGAGGAGTAAAGAGATATGAAGCGACTACTCCTCAGTTAAATCGCTTCCAAATGTGTGATAAATAGATTTGAGGCGTTAAACAGGAGGCGTTAAAAGGAAAGGGAAGTTATTGAACAAGTTTGAGTCAATGATTAAATTGAAATCAGAACCGATTTGCAACTCTCCTAAGGCACAACACCGTTGCTATATGAGTGTGGGATGCGTTAAAGGATTTCAGGGGTTTGGAGAGTGGAAGAGAGTTGAAAATGGATCTGCTAAGTGAAATTGCGATGAGATTCACTGCATTTAAAAATGGGAATTTGGATAGAAATTAGTGGCGACTAAAGATATGGAATCGGAAAAAATGAAGAACTGGGGAAGGAAGGAAGGAAAGAAGGAAGGAAGGAAGGCAAGCAGGCTGGAAGGAAGGAAGGAAGGAAGGAAGGAAGGAAGGAAGGAAGGAAGGAAGGAAGGAAGGAAGGAAGGGAGGAAGGAAGGCAAGTAGGAAGGAAGAAAAGAAAGAAAAAGAAGGAAGGAAAGAGGAAGGAAGGAAGGAATGGAGGAAAGGAGAGAGAAGGAAGGAAGGAAGGAAAGAAAAGAGGGAGGGGAGGAAGGAAGGAATGGAGGAAAGGAGAGAGGAAGGAAGGAAGGAAAAGAAAAATAGGGAGGGAGGAAGGAAGGAATGGAAAAGGAGAGAAGAAGGAAGGAAGGAAGGAAGGAAAGAAAGAAAGAGGAGGGATGAAGGAAGGAAGGGGAGGAAAGGAGAGAGGAAGGAAAGAGGGAAGGAAGGAAGGAATGCAAGCAGGCAGGAAGGAAGGAAGGCAAGCAGGAAGGAAGAAAGGAAAGAAAGGAAGGAAAGAAGGGAAGGAAGGAAGGAAGGAAGATAGGAAGAAAGGGAGGAAAGGAGAGAAAAGGAAGGAAGGAAGGAAGGAGGGAGGAAAAAGAAGAGAAAAGGAAGGAAGGGAGGAAAGGAGAGAAGGAAGGAAGGAAGGAAAGAAAAAGGGAAAGAAGGAAGGAAGGCAAGCAGGCAGGAAGGAAGGGAGGGATGGAGGATGGGAGGAAGGAAGGAAGGAAAGAGGGAAGGAAGGAAGGCAAGCAGGAAGGAAGGAAGATAGGAAGGAAGGAAAAAGGGATGGAAGGAAGAAAGGAAAGAGGGAAGGAAGGGAGGAAGATAGGAAGGAAGGAAAGCAAGCAGGTAGGAAGGAAGGAAAGGAGGAAGGAAGGAAAGCAAGCAGGCAAGAAGGAAGGGAGGGAGGAAGGCAAGCAGGAAGGAAGGAAGGAAGGAAGAAAGAAAAGGAAGGAAGGAAGGAAGGAAGATAGGAAGGAAGGAAGGCAAGCAGGCAGGAAAGAAGGAAGGAAGGAAAAGAAAGAAAGAAAGATAGAAAGAAGGAAAGGAGAAAGGAAGATTAACAAGGAAAGAATAAGTTGGAAAGAAAGAGTGAAAAAAAAGAAAGATATGGAAAGAAAGAAATAAGAAAAAGAAAGAAAAGAACGAAAAGAGGAATGAAAGAAATACAGACTGAAGGAAAGCAAGAAAGAAATATGGGATTAAAAATAAAAGATAGGTAAAGCATAATGGTACGTAGAAAGAAAAGGGAAAAAAAGAATGAGACGAAAAAAAAGTTGAAAGAAAGAAAATTTGGTTGATTATATTTTTTTTGTTTTGCTTAGCTGCATATTAACACCTATGGTTTATTTAATGCCGAAATCTAAATATTTTGTACGCAATTTTATTTGTTTACGGGGAGATAATAATAGGGATACATGTCTCACCAATTAACCTATAGCTTGGGGGAGAAGAGGTGGATTCATAACTTTCCCAATGGTATTTGCACGTAAGTGAATATAACGAACCCAGTAAGATTAGAAAATCCACTCTCTGATTAACATTTCCGATACCATTATCCATTACACCAGCCGCACATCGAAGCTTACAGCAACTAGTATTTCCAACCTGTCACCCATCTAGGTACTGACCAGGCGCCACGTTGCTTAACTTCGGTGATTGTACGAGAACCGGTGTTTGAAAGAAAGAAAGAAATGAAAGAGAAGAAAGGTAAGAGAGGATGTAAGGAAAGAAAAGGATTAATAAATGAGAAAGGAAGGAAGGAAGGATGGAAGGAAGGAAATTGAGATGAAGCCGGAAGTACGTTTAACTGGCACTTTTACTGCTTCTCTTTCCTGTGTTCACAGCTCTGTTTTGGTTTGAGCACTGAATATGACGCGAAGACGCAGTTCGGAAATGACAAGCTGACCTTCTAAGAATATCAAACGGTTTTTTCCAAACGCTTTCTCATTTCCTGATCTCTTTGCTCATTTTCCTCCTTTTCATCAGTCTTCACTAATCATGTCTCCCCCTCTTTGTTTTAATCCTTAATAGTTTTTTTTGCTTGATCTCATCTCATCACTTCTTTTTTTTTTCTCCCTCTCTCTCGCTTTCTCTCTCTACCCCATGGTATTTTTACCCACTTTTCTTTATATCGTTTCGTCCTTTTCCTTTTGTTTTCACTCCTTTTTTTTTCTCTCGGCTTTTCTTCTCGTCCCCTCGTAAATTCTCGTTCTCTATCCATCGACCACATTTTTATATCTATGCTTTTTTCCCTCCCAATTTTATACTTTCTTTCTCTCTTTCTTGCTAAAGATTAAGGATAAAAGAGATGACAAAAACAGAAAGAGAAAAAAAGAAAGAAAAAGAGAAAGAGTTCCCGTTCTCTTTTTCTTTTCTCTTTCTGCTTTTGTCATTTCCTTTATTCACTTTTTTCTCTCTCGCTTTCCTCTCCATTGCATTTCCTTCATCTTTTCTGCTTATTTCTCCAGGACCTCTTACTCATTTCTCTTTGTTCTTCTCTTTTCACTTCCGTTCCTTTTCCGTGCTCTCCTCGTTCCTCCTGTTTAACTTTTTTTCGCTCTCCTCATCCTTTCACTTTTCTTTTCTCTTATTCGAAAAATGGCTTTATCGTGCCTTTCTCCACTTTCGTTGTTGGCATGATCCCCCCCCCGACACTTTTTTTTTCATTTCCATTTCTCTCTTTTTCACCTTCTTATTTTAACCAGACTCTTTACTTTCACCCTCTTTTTAGTCCACGGGATTTTCAGTTTTTCTCTCTTTCACATTACCAGTTATGACATCTTAAATGAGAGTCACATTTATTTTTTTTCAGAAACTACGTCGTATGCATATACAAGCCCAGATGTGAAGAGACGGGTACTGATCATTTTAGCATTCCATTCCATATCCTAAATGAATCTACTCATAGAAAACAGCATCTTTGCTTTCCCTCCCAATGCCAATGTACTGAGTCGGGGGGGCTATGCTAATGACAGATATATTTATAGTTGGGATAAGAATGATTTTGAAGAATTCTCTACCAAATATTCCGAAAAAAAAATCTATGAGCTTATATCAACTTTCAAGTGGAATTGTATATTGCATCATAAAATAACATTTCTGGTTCGGGTTCAATGAATTCTTTAATGCTTTGAGATTTGTTCGCATGATGTTGTATGTCGTATAACATGGTAGCCTGAAGGTAACAGAACTGAAGAATATGCATAAGGTGAATGAACTTTCCACATGAACTCAAATATTTCCTGCATTACATTTGCAACATGAAGTCAAATATTGTCATAAATCAAAATCAATTATAGCTTTTCTTGCCCTGTAAAATATCATTTCTATTCAAATGTATTATTTAGACAACAGAAACAACATCTCTACCAATAATTCCAAGAAATAAAACTCAAGATAAACCTTTCCAAAACAGAAACTATAATCTGGTATTGGAATGAAAGCAATCCTGGAACTTACCCTGAATCCATCATGAAAATTCAAGATGTGGAATTAGTAAATACGCAACATTTCATAGACCTCTGTGTACGGAGCAGTTATAACAAATTTAACATAGGATATAAAGAGTAACAGTTGTATGAAACACTGCAGGGAATACGGAAAACAGAAAATGAACGGAAGAACTTTAGTGATGTTCTTAAATAGCCTCGTCAAATCGAGACTTTCATACGGATATTGCCAAACAAGCTGAGAAATATTCAAACTGTTAATTTTATGCAACTTGGGTTCGCGCGGGTGTGAATTGATGATAATGGAAATTATAATTGAGAAGAAGAGAGAAGAAAAGAGAGAGAGAAGAAGAAGAAGAAGAAGAAGAAGAAAAGAGAGAAAGTGAGAGAAAGAGAGAGAAAGAGATAGATAGATAGAGAGAGAGAGAGAGAGAGAGAAAGAAAAATGTTACGAAATAATTATTCAGTGTATAGTTTGATCTAGAAGAGGTATTTTTGATTTTATAGACTACATTCATACATTGTTTGTGTCGTAGCGGGATTCACAATTGTACACAAGATTTGGCAGTGGAGGCGTTGCAAAGTGACAAATATTTATAAAAAAGCACTATTCCACACACACACACACACACACACACACACACACATATACACATACGTATTGAGAAATGTTTCGAAAACCGCCGTGTTGATACATATTTCTTTTATTCGACATAGCACAATGTCATCATCAGGTTTTTCATTGCAAGACAAAGAGTCAATTATTTTCCAAGACAAAATTGCTGTGTTCATCTGAAAGTTACATTTCTTACTTGTGGAGTGAAGAACGCTGAGTCAGTGGGTGATCGCTGACACCGCTACAAGAGAAGTACTTAAGTATGGTTGAAGAAAGTTTTTTACGAAATAAGTAGTAAAATGAATTCTACAATATTTGTCTTGCAATAAACAACATCCTGATGATGATATTGTGCTATGTCTAAAGTACTCGGAATAAAAGAAATATTTATCAACACGGCAATTTTCTCTCGTCTTTCAATAATGACACGAAAAAGCTTGTCCTTGAATATGAAAGGATCCTATTGAAAATAAGTAAACATAATATGTCTAAATTATTCGACGAAACATGTCTCAATGAAAAAAATGATGCCAAAACATACGGTTATATATATATATATATATATATATATATATATATATATATATGTGTGTGTGTGTGTGAAAAGTGTGCGACGATCGCAAAAGCGTGAAACCCAGGGTTACAAACTCACATCAATCCAATATATATATATAGCAGTGCACATCGTTATATATATCTTAATCCTCTCTCTCGTTCCATCCGTCTTTATCCCTCTGTGTTTATCTCTCTCTCTCTCTCTATATATATATATATATATATATATATATATATATATATATATATATATATTTAAAAAGAAATTCTTTAGATATTTTATTCATTAATCCGACAGATTTTATTACTTATACGTTAATTTTAATGGATACTCATATTTGAGTAGACGCACTGCTTATTTACTAAACAGTATATTTATTTATTTTTCTCTACCGGCCTGAATATTCGAGAAACCTTATTAGAGAATATTAAAACGTTTATTTTTCGCCCGGATTCTCACATCTTTCTCATATATACTCTTTATTAAATAAACGGAAAGTCTACTCAAATATCAGTATCCACTAAAAATAACGTTTAAGTAATTTAAACAACTATAACTCCAGAAGTCATCTGTTCTGCCGCATGCAATTCTTGTCTATTTTCGCTAAACCATGAATTAACAAAGCTACGATAATATATTTACTGCCATATAGACAATTAGATATTACGAAGTAGTTCACTCTTTTCTTTGTTTCTACAGAAACTTTTCTATCTTTTAATAGTTCATGAAAGTCCTCTTTAAAGAATAAAGATTATTTCCCAACGGCCAGTGTGACACATGTTTAAATGGCTACAGCATCTCATACCTAAGCACTAACCCATTTCTTTCAAAATATTAATTACGGTGCGAGACTCTAATAATTTTATCACATATTCTTTTGCCATCATTTGTTTTTTTTTTTACCACAGCGTTGTCAAGGAAACAAACCGACAGGTTTAATTATTAATACTGCAAGGATTTTAGATGTCCCATATTAATTAATACACTTAATTAATTCCAGTAATTAGCTGTCCCATATTAATTAATATAATTCTGATTAGAGGATGCGTAACCTTTTAAGAAAGATCGTATTGGTTATGTAAGATTCTGTCATTTCTGTTTGCATTTTTTGTTACGAAAAAGATTCGATTACGTCCTTAATTAAGTGATTAATTATTCGATTACTGAACCGATAATAATGGGGGACATAAAGAAAAGGAAAGTATGTTAAATGGAGAAGTGGTAGGGGTATGGGGAGTGGGGAAGAGAACAAGAGTGAAAATGAGAGAAGGAAGAGGACAGAGAGCAAGAAGGGAAGGAAGAAGAAGAAGAAGAAGAAGAAGAAGAAGAAGAAGAAGAAGAAGAAGAAGAACGACGACGACGACGACGACGACAACAACAACAACAACAACAATAATGATAATAATGAGAAGAAGAAAAGAAAAAGCCACAGAAGAAGATATCAGAAGGGAAAATACATGAAGAAGAAGAGGAGGAGGAAGAGGATAAAGAAGGAAAGATAGGAATAGGAACCTTACGAAAAGGAAAAAGGATGATGACGAAGAAGGAGATAAAAGGAAAAAAAAAGAAGAAAAACGGCAAGAAGTATAAATCCAAAAAGGATAATAAAAGAGAATAGGGAAATGGAGAAGAAAATGAGAGGAAATAAATAAATAAAGAAATAAAGAAAGAAAGAAAGAAAGAAAGAAAGAAGGAGAAAGAGAAGGAGAGAGAGGAAAAACAGATGGATCAGATGGTGTAGAAGAAGAAGAAGAAGAAGAAGAAGAAGAAGAAGAAGAAGAAGAAGAAGAAAGGATATAAAAAAACAATAATAATAATGACAAGGAGGGGAGTATAATAATACGATATAAGAGGAGAATATGCTTGAAGAAGAAGTAGAGGAAGAAGAGAAATGATTATGAACTTGACGAAAAGGAAAAGGAGAGGAACAAGAAGAAGATGATGACGAAGAAAGAGATAAAAAGATGGAAAGGAAAACGACATGAAGAAGAAGTATAAAACTAAAAAGAGAATGGAGAAATGGAGAAGTAAAGAATAGAAAGAAAGAAAGAAAAAAGAAAGAAAGAGAGAAAGAAAGAAAGAAGTAGGAGAAGGATGAAAAAAGAGATGTATCAAGTGGTGCAGAAGAAGAAGAAGAAGAAGAAGAAGGAGAAGAAGAAGAAGGAGAAGGAGAAGAAGAAATAATAAAAAGGAAAAGGTAAAGAATAGTAGGAAGTGTAAAAAGAGATGAGAAAAGAACTGCAGAAGAAAGCGTCAATTGGCATCAATCAACCGCGCACTTTAGGGTTTCCATTCTTGTAACTTCAACTTTGACCTTTGCAGTGATTAGAACTTAACCCTGAATCAATTTGACATATTTAAAATCGAATGATCGCATCTCGTGGCATCGTAACTTTGGCAGTGTCTCATAAACTTCATTCTTCACTCAACTAGAAGTCATTGAGGATCGTAGGGTCAACATTTACCGTTTTGCCCTTTATATCGAGGTTAAAAGAGTGCAAGGGAAATATTTGAACATTCTTGTTTTAATTTTTCAGGGTCCCACAAAATGTCTCGCTTTATGGTCTGTAAAAGAAGAAAGTGTCGCAACTATTGTCATAAAAGTGTTGATCCTGAGTTGACAATGAAACACTTATTTTCACATAAAATTTCAGTATCAGTGCTGACGTCGCTTATAAACAGACCAACGAATGATTCTCCACCGCTTCATATCTATCTATATATCTATCTAGCTATCCCAGTCTGTTCGTTATCTATCTATCTATCTTAATCTGTTTATATATGTCTCTATATTTGTCTGCTTGTCTTTCTACATGCTTGTCTGTCAGTCTTTCCGTTTACCAGTATCTATCTATCTATCTATCTATCTATCTATCTATCTATGATTACCTTTTTTTCTTTGGCAATTTCCATTCTTCAAGTCTTCCTCTGGTAAATCTCGCATCATAAAACACAAACAATATATTCTCCAATATCTTCTCGATCGAACTATTCATTCAATTATTATTTTGGAACTCCATTTCTTTAAACTTTCTCCTTTTAAACTGTTTTGTTTATTATTTATGCTTTCTATTATTATGTGTTCACACAGACACTCATACATACAAGTTTTACTCCCAGTGGCTTCTTGCGTCTTAGCAGAATTATCGCCATGCTTGGGGTGAATTGATAAAAAAAAGAAAGAGGTGTACGCGCCGTATGTCCTCGTGTAAATGTAGGGGGTGTTAATATTGCATTAACAGTTTTTTTAAGATAAAATTATTTTTGCAGATACAAGTCCCACTATTTATCCCATAAGCTGGGGTTTGAGGAAAATGAATTCATACCTTTCCCAGTGGTATTTTCGTGTAAGTTAATGTAACGAACCCGACTGGAATTTGAACTCGCAGTTCTTCGGGATGAAGTTGAGGTGAACTTTCTTTTTGGAACAGGAAAGAAATGCGGATGACACGAGTAAACAATATATAACAGTTTGTGTATGGATGACAGACTAGGTTAAGATTTTCCCGTGGTAGGTTACCAATCAAGTCTATAGGACCCAGTCTGTCCTGTTACTTCAATCCATACATGTGAGATAAAGCAATGGATTCATACCTTTCCTAAGGTTATTTGTGGGTAGAGGAATATAAAGAATCCAACTGGAATTCGAACTCGTCTCACCGATTTCTCATTCTGAGCCGATATTCATTACAACGCAACGAGATACAACTTAGAAACACTAAGCAGAAATTGAAATTACAATTGGAAAGGTTTACTATACACGTACATCCATTATGTCATGTTATTCTATGAGTGCCACTGGTATCATAGACCGCAGCGTTACTCAACGTATAGGCGACGACTAGACCCGTTTTCCTATCACTTTTCTTTTGAGGACGGTGATTAGACACTCTGCATGATAGAAAAAGAGCCGTGAAAGGGCAGATGAAAGGTCAACGACCATCTAGTAGTCGCATGGGTTAGAGTGGTCTTCTGCATCCAGTACAGTAATAACACGGTATTACTAGGCAGAACAAAAAGGTAAACAACCAAGGCGAAGAGTTCCATATCTCGGTGACCAAGACGATTCTATAAGTGGGATGATATTGGCTGCAATTTGACCTGTGGAGGGACCGGCTATGTCAGACTACGCAGCAATGAATAACTATCAGGCTTCAAATGTAAAGAGAAATGGTAACGTGTCGACAATACCACCATACTCAATCACCACACTGATGACCATGTTGATGATACACACATTTTTTTACTACTATGATCTTTATGCTTAATGGGTGAACGTGTTTGGGTAGACATCTTTGTTTTTTTAAACAGTGAAATTAATGCCTACCAGCGTAGAGATAGAGAGACCGATGAAACAAAATATGTCTCCCGATAAGAAGAAAAACGGTACTGCTTCTTATCGATCAGGGAAAACAATTTTTATATTGAGCAAGCTTTAACATTAGGCCACAGGATGCTATCACAGAAATTCAAGACACGCCTTATAAGGCATTCACATCTTCACTTGGGACTTTTCGAAATCTATATCGGCTTACTTTATTTTTATGAACTCGGCAACGAAGTAATATTTAAGTAAATGGATTTAAAATAATCCGATATTATGTGTAGATAAATCAATAAATCGATAGATAGATAGATAGATAGATAGATAGATAGATCGACGAGGGAAATGTTGAAAAATTTGTTGGCCGACCCAACGATAATACGTTTTTTTCTGACTTTTCTCTTTATCGTATAACTGCTAAGAAAGTTCACTTTGTCGAGCAAGACAATTGATCTCTCCGGAATCATATCTATAAGTCCACCATTCACCCATGCTTAGAATATTGCTGCCATAAATGGTCCAGTACCCCTGCTATTTTCCTATAGCTCCTCGATAAGATCCAAAGAAGAATCAGCAATATTACTGGTTGTGATCTCGCAGCTCGGCTTCAGTTAGTTGCGCACCGCCGGCAGGGTGCCTGTCTGTGTCTTTTTTAAATAAATACTTTCATGGCAATTGTTCCGATGAGCTCTTTACTACGGTACCTAGACTGTATGAATTTAAGCGGAATACTAAACTGGCGGCGGGATAGCATCAATTTACAATTGAGCTAGAAAGATATAGCTGTATCTTCTATGTTAACAGTTTCTTATCCCGCACTTCTTGCTTGTGGAACTCCCTCCCAGCTTCATGATTTCCAACCAACTGTAAAAATTTTAAATCAATATTAATTGCTCTCTACTGTCTTCCTGATTATTCTTTTCTTTCTCATTATTACTAATATTTCTGTTCCTAATTCCTCCACAATCTGAAAGCCCTTGCATGTTAGAGGCTGTACTGCCTTGCCTGGGGTAATGCCGATTATATCTATCTATCTATCTATGAAGAAAAATATGGAAAAACAAAAATCCGAATATGCAAGTATGCTGTTTTAATGTTTCAATGTCGACGTCAGACGTTTCGGTCTAGTTGACCTTCTTCAGGACATAGTTATTAAAACATAATTAAAATTAGATGATATTCAAGTCAACATGAAAAGACGATAGACATAAGACTAATCAAAACAGAATAACTGAAATTTTTAAGATCAGCGTTCCGTTTCTATCATCTATCTATCTATCTATCTATCTCTCTCTCTCTATATATATATATATATATATATATATATATATATATATATATATATATATATATATATATATATAAAAGTGAACATTGAAATCAACACTCAGGCGACAGGCTATTTCACGATTGCGTCAATCGTCAAACAGCCTGTCGCTTCTGAGTGCTGACTTCAATGTTCACTTTTATAATTATATTTACATACGCTATATCTCTGATATTGAGCACTTTATCCCATTAATATAGCACACTTTAAAAACTATATTTAATCTTACTCAGGACACGGATGTAGTTTATCGTCATACCCAGGACGGAGTTAGAGCTTCTGAAAGAGTGTACATAAACTGATATGGTTATAATAATACATTCAAACCTTCGATCAAGATGGCTTCGTGCTAGAACAACCATAGGCAATTCTAAAAATTCGTCTACCGAATTTCAATCCCAAACTTGGGGCAACTTGTGGTATGTTTTTTTATTATTTCCTGCGATTTTCCCACGTTGCTATTATTGTTGATGTGTTGGGTGACTGATACAAAGATGTATCGGAAATGAAGAAATCAGAAATTAAGATGTAGCTTTCGACGCGGCCTAACTGGTTAAAGCGCCGTCTCTTGAACACGAGCTGTCGTTTGTAAGTTTCTCTGGCAGCGAATTCACTGATTTTGCGTTCTTTCAACTCGGCAAGCAGTGATAAATAGTACTAATAAGATGAATTAAAACTTGTAATTAACTCCTAACAGATATGGGTTTTAGAACCAGTTGAGTCAATATATTTGTTGAACATAGAAGGGGAAAATGCCCATTTCTTCTTCCTTTGTAGACGGGATGACGGCATTTGTCACCTCATGACGTAACGTAATCCGTGTTATTCAGAAGATCAGGTCACATGTGAGCATTTATCAACATGGTGACAGAAATATGGATGACAAATTTATTCTTTCCTTATATAGAATAATTCTGTCTTACTTCCTCATTATTTTTCTTTAATTTACACTTTAATTAGTTTTGTGAAATATTTTACTTTTTCATGTTTCGACATTATGGTTTCTTTCCTTGTTTCCACTTCTTTCTTTCTTTCTTTTTTCTTTCTTTTTTTCTTTCTTTCTTTTTTTACTTTTTCTTTCTTTCTTTTTCTTTCTTTTTTCTTTCTTTCTTTTTTCTTTTTTTACTTTTTCTTTCTTTCTTTTTTTTTTTCTTTCTTTTTTTTTTTTTTTTTTTTTTTTTTTTTTTTTTTTTTTTTTCTTTCTTTTCTTTCTTTTTTCTTTCTTTTTTTTTTTTTTTTTTTTTTCTTTTCTTTTTCTTTTTTTTTTTTCTTTCTTTCTTTCTTTTTCTTTTTCTTTTCTCTTTCTTTTTTCTTTCTTTCTTTCTTTTTCTTTTTTACTTTTTCTTTCTTTCTTTTTTCTTTCTCTTTTTTTTCTTTCTTTCTTCTTTCTTTCTTTCTTTCTTTTTTTTCTTTGTTTTTTCTTTCTCATTACTTTTACTTATTTATAGATTGTTTATTTTATCAACTATTTTCTTTGTTTCAACGTTAATTCGTTCTTTCTTTCTCTTTCGTTACTTTTTCATTAATTTACTCGTTGATTATTTTGTCATTTTTTATTTTTATTGCTTCTACATTATTTCGTTTTTCTTTTTTTCTTTCTTTCTTTCTTTCTTTCTTTCTTTTTTATTTCCCATGACTTTTTCCTTTAATTTACGGTTTGAGTTTTTTGTTAACTGTTTTCCGTTTTCTTCTTTCATTCTTCCTTCCTTTCTTTCTTTCTTTCTTTATTTTTCATGTTTTCCCTTTAATTTGCGGATTGATTGTTTTGTTAATCATTTTCAGTTTTCTTTCTTTCTTTCTTTCCTTCATTGTGTCTTCATTTATTTTTCATGACTTTTTTCTTTAATTTATGGATTAATTGTTTTGTCAATTATTTTCCTTTATCTTGTTTGTTTGTTTCTTTTTCTCTTTTTCTCTTTCTTTCTTTCTTTTTTCTTTCTTTCTTTCTTTCTTTCTTTCTTTCTTTCTTTCTTTCTTTCTTTCTTTCTTTCTACTCACTCTCCCATTTTTTGCCTCTCTCATTTCATTTCATTACATTTTCTTTTTTCTTTTGTTCTTTCGCCTTATAACTCTCACTGTTTTCTTCATTTACTTCTCCTCTCACTTCCACTCACATCACCTCTTTTCTATTTTTACTCTCCTTATTCTTTTCTTCTCTTAACTCCCTAAACCGGCATTATTTTTTCCAATTCATATGGATTCTTACCTTACAGTGCCATAAGAAGAACCTTTGAATACTTTTGGGGGTGTTATAAAGTGTCGGCTATGGTAATCCGTTCTTATATCAAACCAATATTGCTGTTCTGAAGTATATAACATTATGACAGCCCATCCAATTTCATATTCCATTGGGATGCCTACTACTCCATCAGTTGCTTGTGCTTGCAATGGAAATGATCATCCAAAATGAAGTAGAGATAGTCAATAGCACTGAGATCACTGGCAAAGTTGGTTTCTTCATAAATATTTTTTTTCTTATGAGCAGAATTTTCAAACCTAAACGTATTATCGTCAGGTTAGATAATATTGTATCTTAGATGGAAGCGAAATTTAATCTAACGTTACATTTTAGAAAAGACGCCTTTAATAACATTGTTTTTAATTTTTTCGGTTTTTGTTGCCGTCACCTTTCTAAAAAAAAAAAAAAAAAATCAATTGAAATTCACAAAGTGAAGATCAGGCACTTGTATATGTTCATGTTTCTAAACTTGAAGAGCTTTCATTTCCAATTGACTCTCAAGTGAAGGTAAAAAAAAAAATATAATATTGTTCGCCTAATATAAAGCCCAAGAGCCACTCAAGGTTATGGAATTACTGAATTATATTGTTGTAAGGCTCTAAATGGAGAAAGTAAAAATTTCATATTATGGGGATAAGTAGGATAGATAACAGTTGATTCTAGATTTGAAGAAGTTAACATAGTATGGATCTAGGAAGTATCGTTTTGGGAATCTCTTTCACATAGTAACAGTTCTAGGAAGGAAGCGATCTGAGTGTAACTTCTTCTGTACTATTGAAATACAAATGCAATGAGGATGATTTGACACTGTGTACGTGGAATGGTAGGTCCAGGCTGTAAAGATTTGAACTGGCGGTAATAAACACCTGTCACGTAAATAGCGGTAGAACAACGAGGGGTTAGCAACATTTCATCTGTGGGAAAAGAATTGCTGAGGGGAAAATAATTCATCAACTACGATTTGTCAAGTAAACTCTATCAAGGCTGGAAAGTCAGGATCGGGCAGCTCCAGTTAAAATATGGAAGCAATAGTCCATTATTAGCAGAGTATCCCAAATCAAAGGTATCATCGACAGTGTAAATAATCTTGTATTTTGGACAAAGGCGATGTATAATCTGACGTTAAATTTTAAAATGACGATTAACATAGTGTTTCATCAAAAAAATTTGATGTTCAGTTTCGGCTTCTGCTGGAGTAAGTTTACTCAGAAAATTAAGATCCAGAAAATGTAGATCAAACATTTTGTGCTCTTCCATATTTCCAATTCACAAATAATAAAGAAACGAAATCTGTGGAGAACCATGTTCTTTTACGTTCTAAAGAGTCATGTTATTACAAATTATAGGACTAACTTTATTGTCCCATGTAAGAAAGAATTTTTTTATATCCAAAGAAATCAAACCCGAAACCAAAGAAATGCACAGTAATGTATTAGCAACCTGAAGTAGAGCCTCTTATCAGCGTTGAGTATCTCTTTCAGCTGTTATAACAACAGACTATTTTAAAGTCTACGGGAGATTATACAATAGAAAGAGTTGGTGTTCTGGAGAAAGACTTGTTTTGTTGAACAGATTTAACCGACTTCCTTTTAATATAAAGTGAGCTCGCTGCTGTTGAATAGGGACTGGGCTCGCTGCTGTTAAATAAAGACTGGACTCGTCGCTGTTGAATAGGGACTGGACTCGCTGATGAATAAAGATTCGGCTCGTTGCTGCAGAATAGGGGCTGGGCTCATTGCTGTTGAATAGGGGCTGGGCTCATTGCTGTTTAATAGAGACTGGGCTCGCTGCTGTTTAATAAAGAGTGGGCTTGCTGCTGTTACATAGGGACTGGGCTGGCCGATGAATAAAGACTGGGCTCGTTGCTATTGAATAGGGGCTGGGCTCGCTGCTGTTGAATAGGGACTGGGCTCGCTGCTGTTAAATAAAGACTGGACTCGCTGCTGTTGAATAGGGACTGGACTCGCTGATGAATAAAGATTCAGCTCGTTGCTGTTGAATAGGGGCTGGGCTCGTTGCTGTTGAATAAAGACTGGGCTCGCTGCTGTTAAATAAAGACTGGACTCGCTGCTGTTGAATAGGGACTGGACTCGCTGATGAATAAAGACTGGGCTCGTTGCTGTTGAATAGGGGCTGGGCTCGTTGCTGTCGAATACGGGCTGGGCTCGTTGCTGTTGAATAGGGACTGGACTCGTTGATGAATAAAGACTGGACTCGCTGATGAATAAAGACTAGGCTCGTTGGTGTTGAATAGGGGCTGGGCTCGTTGCTGTCGAATAGGGGCTGGGCTTGCTGCTATTTAATAGTGACTGGGCTCGCTGCTGTTGAATAAAGACCGGGCTTGCTGCTGTTTCATAGGGACTGGGCTGGCTGATGAATAAAGGCTGGGCTCGTTGCTATTGAATAGGGGCCGGTCTCGCTGCTGTTGAATAGGGAGTGGGCACGCTTCTGTTAAATAAAGACTGGACTCGCTGCTGTTGAATAGGGACTGGACTTGCTGATGAATAAAGATTCGGCTCGTTGCTATTGAATAGGGGCTGGGCTCGCTGCTGTTGAATAAAGACTGGGCTCGCTGCTGTTAAATAAAGACTGAACTTGCTGCTGTTGAATAAGGGACTGGGACTGGACTTGAATGCTTGATTTGGGCCTGGGCTCATTGCTGTTGAATAGGGCTGGGCTGGGCTCATGCTGTTGAATAGGGGCTGGGCTCGCTGCTGTTGAATAAAGAATAAAGAGTGGGCTGCTGTTACATAGGGACTGGGCTGGCCGATGAATAAAAAGACTGCTCGTTGCTATTGAATAGGGGCTGGGCTCGCTGCTGTTGAATAGGGCTGGACTCCTTTGCTGGACTGGACTCGCTGCTGTTGAATGGGACTGGACTCGCTGATGAATAAAGATTCAGCCTCGTTGCTGTTGAATAGGGCTGGGCTGAATAAAGACTGGGCTCGCTGCTGTTAAATAAAGACTGGACTCTGCTGTTGAATAGGGACTGGACTCGCTGATGAATAAAGACTGGGCTCGTTGCTGTTGAATAGGGGGCTGTTGCTGTCGAATACAGGCTGGGCTCGTTGCTGTTGAATAGGGACTGGACTCGTTGATGAATAAAGACTGGACTCGTTGAATAAAGACTGGCTGGTGTTGAATAGGGCTGGGCTCGTTGCTGTTGGGCTTGCTGCTATTTAATAGTGACTGGGCTGCTGTTGATGAATAAAGACCGGGCTTGCTGCTGTTTCATAGGGACTGGGCTGGCTGATGAATAAAGGCTGGGCCTCGTTGCTATTGAATAGGGGGGCCGGTCGCTGCTGTTGAATAAGGAAATAAAGACTGGACTCGCTGCTGTTGAATAGGGACTGGACTTGCTGATGAATAAAGATTCTGTTGAATAGGGGCTGGGCTCGCTGCTGTTGAATAAAGACTGGGCTCGCTGCTGTTAAATAAAGACTGAACTTGATGAATAAAGATTCGGCCTCGTTGCTGTTGAATAGGGGCTGGGCTCGTTGCTGTCGAATAGAGGCTGGTCTCGCTGTTGTTTAATAGAGACTGGGCTCGCTGCTGTTGAATACAAACTGGGCTCGCTGCTGTTGAATAAAGACTGGGCTTGCTGCTGTTACATAGGGACTGGGCTGGCTGATGAATAAAGACTGGGCTCGTTGCTATTGAATAGGTGCTGGGCTCGCTGCTGTTAAATAAAGACTGGACTCGCTGCTGTTGAATAAGGACTGGACTCGCTGCTGTTGAATAGGTACTAGACTCGTTGATGAATAAAGATTCGGGTCGTTGCTGTTAAATAGGGGCTGGGCTCGTTGCTGCTGAATAGGGGCTGGGCTCGCTGCTGTTGAATAGGGACTGGGCTCGCTGCTGTTGAATAATGACTGGGCTCACTGCTGTTAAATAAAGACTGGGCTTGCTGCTGTTGAATAGGGTCTGGGCTTGGTGTTGTTTAATAGAGACTGGTTTCGCTGCTGTTGAATAAGGATGGATATCGCTGCTGTTGTATTGAGACTGAGCTCCCTGCTGTTGAATAGCGGCTGGGCTCTTTCATTCTATCTGCCATCTCCTTTCAGGATGTAGGCGATCATGGCCCTCCACCTGCCTCTATCCCTTGCAGCTCTCAGCAAATTCCTTCCCTCTGACACCTTCACCAGACCATGTTCTGTCATCCACTTGCCCAAACCCGCTAGGTATGTCATGCGTTGTTTTCCCTTGTCTCTCTTTCCCTTTATTTGACCCGTGAGTATCAGATTCTCCAGACCCTCCTTTCTCAGTATGTGTCCCAGAAACTTCAGCTGCCTCTTCCTTATGTTAAGTATAAGCCTCGTCATTGTTTTCAATCTCTCTAAAACTTCATCATTGCTCACACGCTCGGCCTATGATAGCCGTAGCATCTTTCTGTGGAATCACATCTCCGTCGCCTCTCACTGCTGCTGAATTAGGATTGGGATCACTGCGGTTGAATAGTGACTGGAAAAGTTGCTGTTGAATAGGGGCTGGGTTCAGTGTTGTTTAATAGAGACTGTACTCACTCTTGTTTGATAGAGATTGGGCTCGCTGCTGTTGAATAAGTATTGAGATCGCTTCAGCTGAATAGGGACTGGACTTGAGCTGGTTGAATAGAGACTGGACACGCTGCTGTTGAATAAGTATTGAGATCGCTTCAGCTGAATAGGGACTGGACTTGAGCTGGTTGAATAGAGACTGGACACGCTGCTGTTGAATAAGTATTGATCGCTTCAGCTGAATAGGGACTGGGCTTGAGCTGTTTGAATAGAGACTGGACACGCTGCTGAATAAGTATTGAGATCGCTTCAGCTGAATAGGGACTGGGCTTGAGCTGGTTGAATAGAGACTGGACACGCTGCTGTTGAATAAGTATTGAGATCGCTTCAGCTGAATAGGGACTGGACTTGAGCTGGTTGAATAGAGACTGGACACGCTGCTGTTGAATAAGTATTGAGATCGCTTCAGCTGAATAGGGACTGGACTTGAGCTGGTTGAATAGAGACTGGACACGCTGCTGTTGAATAAGTATTGTGATCGCTTCAGCTGAATAGGGACTGCACTTGAGCTGGTTGAATAGAGACTGGACACGCTGCTGTTGAATAAGTATTGAGATCGCTTCAGCTGAATAGGGACTGGACTTGAGCTTGTTGAATAGAGACTGGACCCGCTGCTGTTGAATAAGTATTGAGATCGCTTCAGCTGAATAGGGACTGGACTTGAGCTGGTTGAATAGAGACTGGACCCGCTGCTGTTGAATAAGTATTGAGATCGCTTCAGCTGAATAGGGACTGGACTTGAGCTGGTTGAATAGAGACTGGACACGCTGCTGCTGAATAAATATTGAGATCGCTTCAGCTGAATAGGTACTGGACTTGAGCTGGTTGAATAGAGACTGGACACGCTGCTGTTGAATAAGTAATTGAGATCGCTTCAGCTGAATAGGGACTGGACTTGGCTGGTTGAATAGAGACTGGACACGCTGCTGTTGAATAAGTATTGAGATCGCTTCAGCTGAATAGGGACTGGACTTGAGCTGGTTGAATAGAGACTGGACACGCTGCTGTTGAATAAGTATTGAGATCGCTTCAGCTGAATAGGGACTGGACTTGAGCTGGTTGAATAGAGACTGGACACGCTGCTGTTGAATAAGTATTGAGATCCTTCAGCTGAATAGGGACTGGACTTGAGCTGTTTGAATAGAGACTGGACACGCTGCTGTTGAATAAGTATTGAGATCGCTTCAGCTGAATAGGGACTGGACTTGAGCTGGTTGAATAGAGACTGGACACGCTGCTGCTGAATAAATATTGAGATCGCTTCAGCTGAATAGGGACTGGACTTGAGCTGGTTGAATAGAGACTGGACACGTTGCTGTTGAATAAGTATTGAGAGATCGCTTCAGCTGAATAGGGACTGGACTTGAGCTGGTTGAATAGAGACTGGACACGCTGCTGTTGAATAAGTATTGAGATCGCTTCAGCTGAATAGGGACTGGACTTGAGCTGTTTGAATAGAGACTGGACACGCTGCTGTTGAATAAGTATTGAGATCCTTCAGCTGAATAGGGACTGGACTTGAGCTGTTTGAATAGAGACAGGACACGCTGCTGTTGAATAAGTATTGAGATCCTTAAGCTGAATAGGGACTGGACTTGAGCTGGTTGAATAGAGACTGGACACGCTGCTGTTGAATAAGTATTGAGATCGCTTCAGCTGAATAGGGACTGGACTTGAGCTGGTTGAATAGAGACTGGACACGCTGCTGTTGAATAAGTATTGAGATCCTTTCAGCTGAATAGGGACTGGACTTGAGCTGGTTGAATAGAGACTGGACACGCTGCTGTTGAATAAGTATTGAGATCGCTTCAGCTGAATAGGGACTACTTGAGCTGGTTGAATAGAGACTGGACACGCTGCTGTTGAATAAGTATTGAGATCCTTCAGCTGAATAGGGACTGGACTTGAGCTGGTTGAATAGAGACTGGACACGCTGCTTTGAATAAGTATTGAGATCCTTCAGCTGAATAGGGACTGGGCTTGAGCTGGTTGAATAGAGACTGGACACGCTGCTGTTGAATAAAATGAGATCCTTCAGCTGAATAGGGACTGGACTTGAGCTGGTTGAATAGAGACTGGACACGCTGCTGTTGAATAAGTATTGAGATCCTTCAGCTGAATAGGGACTGGACTTGAGCTGGTTGAATAGAGACTGGACATGCTGCTGTTGAATAAGTATTGTGATCCTTCAGCTGAATAGGGACTGCACTTGAGCTGGTTGAATAGAGACTGGACACGCTGCTGTTGAATAAGTATTGAGATCGCTTCAGCTGAATAGGGACTGGACTTGAGCTGGTTGAATAGAGACTGGACACGCTGCTGTTGAATAAGTATTGAGATCCTTCAGCTGAATAGGGACTGGACTTGAGCTGGTTGAATAGAGACTGGACACGCTGCTGTTGAATAAGTATTGTGATCCTTCAGCTGAATAGGGACTGGACTTGAGCTGGTTGAATAGAGACTGGACACGCTGCTGTTGAATAAGTATTGAGATCGCTTCAGCTGAATAGGGACTGGACTTGAGCTGGTTGAATAGAGACTGGACACGCTGCTGTTGAATAAGTATTGAGATCCTTCAGCTGAATAGGGACTGGACTTGAGCTGGTTGAATAGAGACTGGACACGCTGCTGTTGAATAAGTATTGAGATCGCTTCAGCTGAATAGGGACTGGACTTGAGCTGGTTGAATAGAGACTGGACACGCTGCTGTTGAATAAGTATTGAGATCCTTCAGCTGAATAGGGACTGGACTTGAGCTGGTTGAATAGAGACTGGACACGCTGCTGTTGAATAAGTATTGAGATCGCTTCAGCTGAATAGGGACTGGACTTGAGCTGGTTGAATAGAGACTGGACACGCTGCTGTTGAATAAGTATTGAGATCCTTCAGCTGAATAGGGACTGGACTTGAGCTGGTTGAATAGAGACTGTACACGCTGCTGTTGAATAAGTATTGAGATCGCTTCAGCTGAATAGGGACTGGACTTGAGCTGGTTGAATAGAGACTGGACACGCTGCTGTTGAATAAGTATTGAGATCCCTTCAGCTGAATAGGGACTGGACTTGAGCTGGTTGAATAGAGACTGGACACGCTGCTGTTGAATAAGTATTGTGATCCTTCAGCTGAATAGGGACTGCACTTGAGCTGGTTGAATAGAGACTGGACACGCTGCTGTTGAATAAGTATTGAGATCGCTTCAGCTGAATAGGGACTGGACTTGAGCTGGTTGAATAGAGACTGGACACGCTGCTGTTGAATAAGTATTGAGATCGCTTCAGCTGAATAGGGACTGCACTTGAGCTGGTTGAATAGAGACTGGACACGCTGCTGTTGAATAAGTATTGAGATCGCTTCAGCTGAATAGGGACTGGACTTGAGCTGGTTGAATAGAGACTGGGCACGCTGCTGTTAAATAGCGTCTGGGCAAAACCAAATTCTGGTTTCACTACTGCTGAATGAAGACTGGGGTAACCGCTGTTGAGCAAAGTCTGTGCTGGTTAATGCTCATATAGAAAGAGTACGCCATCCAACCTTACAGTGTACTATTTCTATACAACAGAAACATACACCAGAACATGCGCCATCTTTCTTTGGCAGATCGAAACACTTCACTATTCAGCATAACCACAACATAATTACAAATATTCCAGAGAAAAAAGAAAACATCGTCTCTATTCATCAGAGTGAATATGTTCACTTCTTTCAATGGAAATAATACTCACCAAACGTATCACTAAATATTATTATGTTTCCTCCATATTAAACGACCTGAGAAGTTATTCGATAAATGAGAGTACAGCGTCTTCCACAGAAGAAAACGCAATATCTAATAAAAAAGCGACATGCAGAGGGATACATCGAATAACGTACATAAGGCGCTTGCGAGGATGGATGACAGAATAGGGGCTGGGAAGTATAGTAAGCCAAGAAACATAGCTAAAATTAGTGGAGTTCATATTGGGGTTAAGATTTCACTATTTTTAAGGTTTTATTTTCATGCAGAGTTTTTAAGGTTGCATTTTAAAGATGTATTTTAACTTGAATTTTCTAACTTTGTGACTGAATGTGAAGACGTCCCACCAGTTCAGACCTTTACATCAATGCCACATCATACCACGTACACAGGGTTGAATCATCCTCATTTACTTCATATGAAGGTAGTTCCTTTCGGAAAGCTTCCAGAGAATCGCTATTTTGTGAAATAGACCATCTTAACCTCTTCAAGTCTAGGGTCAACCGTGACTGCCACCAGTAAACCTCTAGATTAAGTGGCTCTTGCGCCGTCTATTGGATGAAGAATCAATAAAGAAAACATGATAGTGACAATCACAGAGCCATTTTCACGAATATTTGATGTTATCAAACCATTACACTTGCACGGAAGACATTGGTTCGCTGACATTTAAAAAAATTTCAACACTTGTTGATTTATTTAATAAGCCATTTCTTATGGGACACCATTTAAACATTGTACTCACTTTTCAGTAATAAGAGTCAAGCAGACGAACATCGTTAACCGTTATGTTAGGTCGAAGCGCCTTCTCAGCGTTTCTACTGAAGCAACAAACATTCATAATGTTTTTCTTCGGATATTATTGCATTAATAATACCATATATATATATATATATATATATATATATATATATATATATATATAAAAGACATTTTTATGTTTATACGTTCTATTTATAGATACAAATATTTAAGTAAATGCTCTGTTTATAATAAACAGTATTAACAACATTTACCGGCCTGAATGTCCGAGAAATTTTCAGAGAAAATATGCGTCCTCCGACAGGAATCGAACCTGTATCCTTTACGGAACCGTCATATAGCCTGACATGCTTTTACTGATTGCGCCACAGAAGAGCGTTTCGGGTAGTAAGGCCGATTTTACTGTTTTTAAACCACAAGTCTCCATGGTTTTCTCTCATTCATTCATATCTGATCGGTGCGTATCCAAATGTAAACAAATGACGTCATACATTATGAAATGGACAAAGTCCGACAATTATTTTAAGACATTTTTATGTTCATACATTCTTTTTATAGATACAAATATTTAAGTAAATGCTCTGTTTATAATAAACAGTATTAAACAATATTTACCGGCATGAATTTCCGATAAATTTTCATAGGAGGTATATTTCCTATGAAAATTTCTCGGACATTCAGGCCGGTACATGTTATTTAATACCGTTTATTATAAACCGAGCATTTACTTAAATATATATATAAGAATGTAATTTTAAATCAGAAAGTAATTCTAATATATTTATTTGTTTAAAAAAAACGTATAGTCTATTAGTAATTAAAAGTAGGGATAATACTTTAAAACTGAGGGAACAGATTTTAAATATTAAAAATGCGACGTACTCATATTCAAACGAACCTTTTGAAAAATTCTTGAAATTAGAAATTATGAAATAAACAGTATGGAATTAGAAATTAAACAGTAAAATAAAGATGCCAAAAGAACTCTATGTTATTAAAAAAACACAGAAGGCATGTGAAAAACGGATGTCATTATTTGTTGAACAGGCATTTCAACCTTAGCTTAACTTAACATGATTTGAAAGCAGCTTAGATTTGATACAGAGGTTGTCGATGGAAACAAACCCTCTACCACCACTTATTAATAATGATTATATTTCTCCGTAACCATTAATATAAAGATTGTATGTGCTTATAAACTCAGTCAATTTTAAAATAAGTTATTCCAGAAATTGCTTGAAAAGAAATCAGAGATAAAAAATTTTTTTTAAATTTAATTCTATAATTAAAATTTGTATTTAGTTTCTGTTTCTGAAACATGATAATTACTGTGTAGCGATGGAACCATATTTTTAAATTAGTAAACTTATATCTAACTATCTCACTATATATATATATATATATATATATATATATATATATATATATATATATATATGTTGATAGTCTTCCACAGACAGACTGTTTCGATTTATCACAGCTCATCAGTGTAGCTAGACATCCGATTGCCTCAAGCTAGGATCGAAACTCGACTGATGCCAAATCCCCTAAGAGATTTTTCCCCTAAGCTATCAGCTCCTAGCAGAGAGGAAGGTGAATTTTTACGTATTTATTTTTGAATAAACACGCTAGTGACTCAGATATCGGTATCACCCCATACAAGGCAGTAAAGCCACTAAGACACAAGGAGTTACTGCGTATGGAAGAATTAAGAACAGAAACATTAATAATGAGCGGAAAGAGTAACCAGGAGGACAGTAGATAGCGATTGACATTGCATTTAATAATTTGCTGATTAAAGTTAACTAGAAAACATGGGACCGGAAGGGAGTTCCATAAGCGAGAAGTGCGAGAACAGAAACTGTCAGCATAAAACTTACGGTTACATCTAGCCAGTTGATCTTTAAATTGTGGAGATCTCGGCGTCAGTCTAGCACTGCGATTAAAGTCATAAAGTCTAGGTACCATAGCCAAAAGCTCATCTGAACGATTACCATGAAAGTATATATAGAAAAGATACAGAGAGGCAATATTACGGCGGTGGCAAAGTGACTGAAGCCGAGTCGCAGGATCAGGACCAATAATATTGCTGATTCTTTTTTGGATGATATCGAGATCAAGGTAAATGTCACGGGCACCGGATTATATGTAGCAACAATATTCTAAGCACTTACACACACACACACACACACACACACACACACACACACACACACACATATACATATATATATATATATATATATATATATATATATATTATATTTATATAAATGAATTAATTTCCACAGGGAGTGCTCTAACCAACAACACCACTATTCGTCGGAAGACTGAGTCCCACCTTGTTTATTCCTTGTCTCGTTGAAAAAGCACACAGGCGTGTTTGAGAGTTCCGACTTTAAAATCTTTCTCTTCGTGCTTCAATTTAGTCAAAAGTCTAATATATAATAAATATCATCAATCTTATTGCCAATATTGTTATTATTTTGTTGTCTTTTTATTCCTTAATTTTTATGGGTGGATCAATAAGTGCATAGTCTGACAGTGATTAGCTGAATTTCGATAAAATAAATTCTGTCTGTATAATATTATATAATTAATGGAGAATTGTCAGGCGAAGAGTATTGGCAAGAAAGTTTCTGTTGAAAAATATTTGTTTAACATTAAAATGTTTTTTTCCTTATTGGGTTATATTGATGTATTCAGGTTTTTTTCTCCTCATTGGACATGTTGATGTATTTATCAACAAGTGTTGGTAAATCATTAATGCCTGTTCTCTGTCCAACAGATTTAATTGAAACACAAAGTAATGCGTAGAAAGACGACTGACTTTGCTACCCTAAAGTGTTGAACATGGACTTTTCCATTGACTATGTAGTTGCGAGCAGGACACAAAGGAGTCGTACGGTTGTCGTATCGTCAGTCGCATTACGATATTCGCCAGTATTGTTGGTTGGTTGCCGAAATCGAAATATTTTGTATGTAATTTTATTTATTCAAATGCATAAATTTTGTACCTGTCTATATCTCTGAGATGAGGTATTATGTACACTATTTACATTGCTCGGACTATCATATGTTGCCATATTTATCATAACGTTTCCTCAAGAACACATGTCACAGTGGATAAAGGCGTTGGTTAGATCCAGTGACAGGACCCAAACTGTGTGTGTCCAATACCTCGTTAAGGCGGCGGAGAACTTGGAGAGGGGAATTAACAGGAGATAACTGATAACTGACATCCATTAGACATGGCACGTGGAACTAGAACGATCTGCTCTAGCGAGCGAAATGAAGGGTTCAGTTCGACATTCCAACCACCTGAAGAAGGCCGGAGCGTACAACGGCCGAAACATTGTAATAAATATGGCGACAAAGATGAGGACAATAGTCCAAATAATGTAAATAGTGTACATATATATATATATATATATATATATATATTGCATACACACACGTTGTGTTTTACAGAACATATTACATGCTAACAAAAATGTAAAATATATTGTTTTGTTTTCTAAACAACATATATATATATATATATATATATATATATATATATATATATATATATTGAATGATATAGACATTATGTTTATTTTTGTAAGAATCTTTTCTAATTCTATAATTAGCTTCTTCATCATGGAATGCACCGAAGTTTGTGTTAACCAAAGCACTTTCGATGTCCTTCGAGATCATCCTCCGGGGTGAATTGCATAAAAAAAAAGAAAAAAACAAACAAAAAAAAACAATGATCATTGTGATGGCAATTTATTTTAAATACGCGTGAACGCGCTCTGTTATAATTATTTTAACATTTTAAATTTATCTGTTGTAGCTGTGCTATTTTTGTAAAGAAGCGTCCACACTGTAAGTAAAGATGTCAAAAATTAAACCTGGCATAAAATGTTGGTCAAATGCATTTTAAAACGTTGCTACTACACGTGATAAATTTTGTCAGTGTTGGTTGGTTGATACATGATACATTGCTTATCAAAACACGTTTTTCTAAAATTAAATATTTTTAATGTATTCAAGATAACTAATAAAGTGTATACGGCATATATTATTTCTTATTGGGGCACTTCTACGTGCTGTCAAGGTTAGACTCGGAAGTTTAAATATCTGGGAAGCGTCTTGACAGAGGACGGTAAGTGCGACACTGAGATTCGTAGACGTTTTGTGATGTCCAAAGACACATCCCAAAAGCTGGGCAGAAGGATTTCTTTGGTAACAAAGAAAAGAATACGGAACTGTGACGTGACATATGTCCTTTACGCCAGCGAATGTTGGACGATTTCCTCAAAGATGAAGAGACTCAAGGCGACAGAAATGTGGTTCTGCAGAAAGATGGTAAGTATATCATAGACCGAGCGTGTGAGTAACGATGGGATCTTAGAGTGGTTGCAAACAAGCTTATACTTATACTTATACGATAC